GCAGGGCAGGCTCAGCTGCAGGACACAGCACCCTCCCTCCCTCCCTCTTTCCCCCTTCCCAGCACTCCCTCGGGAAAGCCTGTTGCTGTTTAGCGAGCGGGGACTGCACAGCGATCGAGGGAAGTGGCCGCACAGGATTTTGTCAGTGGGAACAGCCAGGACAAGCACCCAATGTTTGAGGGGATCAGCAGAGTCTGCTGGGAGCATCCCAACCCTCTGGCTCTGCAGCAGACTGGGAGGAGATGGAAGGAGACATCCCCATCCCCAGAGTCTGGATGAAAAGCTCCTTCCCAGGCTGTGACCCCATGGGGAACATCAGGAATTCACACAGCACAACCACAGGGAGAGGTTTAAACCTGAGATGAAATCTTTCCTCGGGCTCTGATCCTCCACCAGAGCACCCCCTGTCCCCTCCAGACCATCCAGACCCCCCATCCCTGTGCTACCTGACGTGGTGAACTGCTTCCCACATTCCCGACACTTCAGGGGCCCGTCTGCGATGTGGATCTTCAGGTGAGCCTTCAAATTCCCCACCTGGGGATGGAGAATGGGATGCAGAGAGCCCCAGATCACCCCACTGCCCTCTGGAGTGACCCCAACCCCTGTGGATCCCTTCTGGGGTGGCCTCTGAGACTTCCCAACTGCACCCCATGGATAAACCACCCCTTCAGGACAGCTCCAGGACACCCCCAGCTGCACCCCATGGATAACCCTCCCTTTCAGGACAGCTCTGGGACAGACCCCTCCCTTTCCCCCTCTCCCCAACACACCTGGTTGAACTTCTTGTCGCAGTGGGGACACTTGTGCTCCTTGTCGGTGTCGTGGGTCTCCAGGTGCCGCATCTTGGAGGTGGGGTCGGAGAAGGAGCGCCCGCAGTAGTCGCACTGGTAGGGCTTCTCCCCGCTGTGGACCAGCTGGTGCCTCTTGAGGTTGCCCGAGGTGGTGAAGAGCTTCCCGCAGTCCTCGCAGCGGTACTTGGCCTCCCCCGTGTGCCGCTTCTTGTGCAGGTTCAGGAGGCTGATGAGCCGGTAGCTCTTCCCACATTCCTCACAGCCGTAGGGCTTCAGTGGGCTGGGGGGACACGGGAACGTCACAACCACAGGGAGAACCAGTGACAAGGTCTCAGCACCCCAGTCTGAGCTTCACAGCCCAGCCAGACCCATCCGGACCCACAGGATGCCACGGAATCATGGAATGGTTTGGGCTGGGCTGGACCTTAAAAGCTCATCTTGTTCTACTAGACCAGGTTGTTCCCACTAAACCAAACCTTCCACTAGACCAGGTTGGTCCCACCAGACCAAACCTTCAGCTAGGCCAGGTTGGTCCCACCAGACCAAACCTTCAGCTAGGCCAGGTTAGTCCCACTAAATCAAACCTTCAGCTAGATCAGGTTGGTCCCACTAAATCAAACCTTCAGCTAGATCAGGTTGGTCCCACTAAATCAAACCTCCCACTAGACCAGGCTGCTCCAAGCCCCATCCAACCTTGAACCAACCAGGGATGGGAAGTCCACAAACCACCACCAAAGGGAAGGACCAGGGCAGAAGGACAAATCTCCTGGACACCCCAACACAGCGATGTGTTTCCAAAGGATCCCATCGTTCCCAGCAAACCCCCTGTTTTCCAGGCATCCTCCACCTGTGTGTCTTCTCGTGGGCCTTGCAGGCGGCCGGGTCGGAGAAGGCCTTGCTGCACTCCCTGCAGGAGAAGGGCTTCTCCCCGGTGTGGATACGGATGTGCCGCTTGAAGTTGCCGGTGTGGGTGAACTCCTTCCCGCAGTCCTGGCACGGACAGACGGACACTGTCACTCCGGTGTCCCCGAGGCTCCCGGAGGTGCCGCTCGGAGCCGTGCCGGCCTCACCTCACACTTGTGTGTGACGGAGCCGTAGGCCTTGGACTCGGTGCGGTCGCTGTAGGTCCCAGAGCGCAGCAGCCGGGGCTCTCCCGAGTTTTCCTGCCCGGAATCCGTGCTCCCCGACTCGTTATCCTCGGCGTTCTCTCCGTTTTCCAACTGGGGCGGCTCTTCCTCGGGGATTTTAGCCTCGTCCTCCTCCTCCACCATCATCTCCCCCTCTTCCTCCTTCCTTTCCAGCTTCATCTCTGCAGGAAGGTAGAAAATGGGGATGCTGAAGTTTGGCAGCAGCAGCAGAGACACAAAACCCATCTGTATTTCCTAACTTAAGGAGATTGGCATTGGGCCTCATGGAAATCAAAGAGATATCTGGGTTGGAAGGGACTTGAAAGCCCATCCATTGCCTCCTTTGCCTGGAATCACTTTGGGTTTGCAAGGGATTAGCCCTAAATTCCAAAAGCCTGTACAGACAGAGGAGCATTTTCCCAACTCCCCTCACTCTGCTCCATGAAAGCTGCTCCCGGGAGCTCTGTGCCATGCAGCATGTGCGTGGCAAAACCCACACTAGCACAAATAATTCCAAGGGAAATTAGGGATCAAGCCCTGCCTGATTTGTCCCAGCCCTGCTCACCAACACACCTCCTGTTCCGGTGCCATCCCTCGCCGTGGGGCTTCCACTGCCCACCACGCTCTCCGACGGCTGCGGGAGGCCGGGAATTTCGGCCTTGGAACCTTCCTGGATGGCAGATTCTGTCCCTACAAACACCAAAGCGTCAGGACAGGGTGTGCTGGGGGTGACAGCAGGATTTGGGATGCCATCCCTTGGTGACTCACCTTCCTGGCCAGGCAGCTGCTCGGCTGGCATCTCGGGCTGTGCCGCAGCCTTCGGCTTCTCCTCCTTCCCCTCGGCGTCGGGAGGAGCCGGTTGGACTTTGTCAAGGTCCCCCAGTGCTTCTGCCACCGAGGTCTTGTCATCAAGCACGGCCTTCTCTGCTCCTGCGAGGGAAGAGGCAAAGCCATCCAGCTTCTGCTGATTCCCAAATCCCACAAAACTCATGGAAGCAGCAATTCTTTAACTGCTGGTGCTGCACAAGCGGATCAAACCCCACCCAGGCACACCGGATACACCCGGGATGTGGGTTTGGATGGTGGTCAGACTGGATAAATTCTGGGCTGGATGAAGCAGAAGTGGATAAATTCTGGGTGTCCCTGGATAAGGGGAAGCAGGAGGGTACGTACCAATCCCGGGGGGCTGCTGGCTCCCAGGGGGATTTTCTGGGGGCACGGAGAGGGATTTGAGAGCGTTGCAAGCGCTGACAACCTCCTGCATCTGCAGGAAACCCGCCACGGCCAACACGTCCTCCACGTTGTCGGGGCTTAGGCTCAGCTTAGCCGTGTACATGAACTCCAAAACCTGGCCCAGGCCTGCGAGGGAGGTGACACAACCAGAAATGAGCTCTCACCCTCAAAGTGCTCCAAACTCTTGGAACAACGAGGTGAGGAGTCCCACACCCAAAGCGTGTTTGATACGGGATTCGGGATGCAAACTCCCGTCGCACCTGCGGCGTTGCTGATGTCCAGGTGCACCACGTCCTTCTGGTCCACAAAGAGCATCCTGAAGTACTCGCTGCAGGCGGCCAGCACGGCCTTGTGGGCCTTGAAGTCGATGCCGTCCACCACGAAGGTGCAGTCACAGAGCAGGCCCAGCTGCCGCTGCTGGTTCAGCTGCTCCAGCACCTGTTTGCTGTGCTGAGGGAAATCCATGGCTGTGGGGAGGGAAACGGGGGGTCAGGGGGGTGCTGAGACCCCCCAGTGCTACGTGACACAAAGCACCACGTGATCGCCCTGTTGGTTACAAAACGTGGCCCCAAAAGGTGAATTTCAGCTCGTCCCCCACTAAACCCAACCCCAAATCCTCTCCCAGAACAGCCACAACGCCAACACAGGGCTGGAAGGAGTTCATGGAACAGCCAACATGATTTGTAGCCCTCTGACAGCATTTAAAACACATTTATTGCTTTTCAGCCGGTCCAGCCCTGTCACCTCTACAAACACAAGTGCCATCGTCCCTTTGGTGTCACTGCTCCTGCTGAGGACACAGTGTGAGGGTTGTTCATCCAAACCTTCCAGCTCCTGCTCATGTCACGATACTGAGGAGTTTCTTATTTCTACCGTGTGTTTGGAGGGAGTTCTCCCTTCTCAGAGCATGGCTTTGGCTAGGGAATGCTGAAAACTCCTGGAAATACTCTGAAAGCCCCATTTTCCAGCAGGTCCTTGTCAGCAAAACACATCAGGTTCTGTCCTGGGCTGCTCCTGCAGGGTGGAAAGTGAACGAAGGGTTTTCACTTGGCTTTGTCTTCCAACAATGATTCCTGTGCTGAAGGGATTGTTTCAAAGGATTGGGCAAGGAGGGAGGAGAAAGGAAATAGGGACTATCCAGTTATTGTTCCAGCAGGAAGTCCCCAGAGCCCTGGATGCTGCAGCAGGAAGGTTATGGTTGGGGAAGCGCTCCTGGAGTCGATGCTCGGTGTGTCTCTGAAAGCTTCCAGCCCATGTCAGTTGTTTTTCCACTACACCAGCTCCTAAATGGGAAGTGTCCAGCTGGGAAAAGGTTTGGATCCACAAAACCAGGCATTTCCAGTTCCTGTCCCTTCCTCTGGATGAGTGGGAGCACGAGCAGCACAGTCAGAGGGAGCCTCCTCCTGTCAGCTGCAGGTGCCAGCAACATGCTGAGGGAAGGATCTTCCACCCAAGGATTGGTTCAGCTTCCAAGGTCATTCCCAGCATGGATGAGAAGCCAGGACATCTCCAACAGCATCGGATCACACATGGAGAGAGGAATTTCCACTCCTGTTTGTTGTTGCAATGAACTCGTTGCACAACTTTCTCCCCAAACCACAAAGTCCTTGTTAACCAAACTCCCCCAGCCTGTCCCAAAATGCACCCCTGAGAGGCAGGAAAATCAGTCCTTTGGATGAAAATACTCATCAAAATACTGCCACATAGTATGGCCTTCTATGGTTTGCAAAGCCCTGGAAAGAAGGAGGAGGATTTTCCCAGCAGGATAAACAACGCATTCCGTGCTCGGAGAGCTCAGCGCAGCAGGACCTGAGGAATCACGATGGTTTGAGGCACTAAAAGCCTATTTTTGGGAATTTGTGGGAGGTATTTTGCATCTGAACGATGATTTTTAATGTTCCAGGATTGGACTCGCCTCAGCTTCGCTTCCCAGCTTTGAGAAGGAAGTAAAAATCCAGGAAATTTGACTCCTCCCAAAACGCTTCCTATTTTCCGTGGTCTCCTCCACAGCTTCACGTTCCAGCTTCCTCGGAAGCGCAGCAGGGAGGTGTGGGTGAGCTCTGTATCACCCTCACCCAGAGCCAAGATCCCCCTCATCCACTAAAACCCCTGCCTCCAAGCTTTAAAAACCCCAAACCCCTGGACCAAACCCCCAGGATGGACGGGCTCACCCCTGTGATATCCAGAGGACCCAGGGCCAGAGGGCTGGGTCTCTCCTCCAGAGACTCCCCCTTTCCAGGTGTTCAGCTCAGTCTCTACGCAGCCATCCTGGGAAAAATGGGATGAAAACCTCCATTTTAACCCCCAAGCCTCGTGTGTTGAAGGCACTGAGATGCAAAGTCACCGACCCAGGGCAGGGCACCCCCGGATTTCACCCCGTGGGAGCAGATTCCCCTCCCGACCTCTCCCGACGTGGCTGTCGAGTGTCTCATTATCCAATTAATCAGGGAAAAGTTCATTATGAGCACACCTACGCCCACCACACACAGACAAATGCAGCGGCTGCAGTCCCAGGGAGCTTCCCACGCCAGCTCCGTTAAGCTCTCCCTAATTAACAATATCAACCTCTCCCTATCCCTGCCACAGGAACACCCACCTATTAAAAACCCCAAAACCTCAATAAATTAGGAAAAAATTGTGATTTAAACATGGCCTTTCAACGCTGTCACCACCCAGCCATCCATTCCCGGGGAGATGAAAGGGAAGAGGGGGTTTATTCCCTGCCTACCGTCATCTCCCTCCTCGTGTGTCAGCTCAGGGAACAACGTGGCCCCAACCCTCGCAGCCTCTGCCCACAGGGGTCTGTCCTCATTTCCAGGAACGGATTCTGCAAGGTTTTCCATGGAAAAATAAAGTTAGGAGCTGATCCGAGCAGAGCAGCCAAGGAGGTGGTAATAATACAGATCATGGAATAGGGAAGGGCTATGGAGCTTCTGGAGGGCGAGCTGTGAGGAGGGGGGAAATAATCACAAACAGGGAAAAAATGTGGTGGAAAGGAACTAAAATGAGAAAGACATGAGGAGGGGGATGAGGAGAGACACTGTGGACACTCCACAGGGAACAGACATCTCAAAGATCCCTTGGTTGTTTGGATTTCAGGCACAGGGATGTGCTGGTGCAGCTCTGGACATTGAGACATCACCTGAGTTTGAGCTCTGCCCTGAAAACCCCCCGGAATGAGCTACAAACCCTCGGGGAAAAACTGCCCTTGGGATGCTGGCTGAGGGCTGGAATTCTGGGAGAAGCCTCTGATGCAGCAATGACACTGAAGAAACGCAGCTTGTCTGGGAAACATGTCATCGGTGCCAGGGCACGGACAGCCGGGGGGGGCTGTCCCAACGCCAAAAATGCCACAATACGGGAGAATTCCCGTTTTTCCTGATGTTTTCCCCCATCCCTCGGGTGTGGGTGACAGCCAGGGAGGTTGGGGATGTGTCTGAGCCCCACTCCCTGTCCCCCACGGGGGTCTCTGGGCATCCTGAGGGGATGGGGGCTGTTCCCCGAGGGGGGGGCAGGGGTTTGGTCCCCCCATGGCTGGGGGGGGTCATAGAGGGCACGGACACCCTGGGGAGGGGGGGCCGCGGCCACGAGCCCCCATTCCCCTCACGATGGGCAGGACCCCCTCGCTGCCCTCGCGACAGCCCCATTCCCCTCGCGACAGCCCCATTCCCCTCGCGACAGCCCCTCATTCCCCTCACGACAGTCCCTCATTCCCCTCGCGACAGTCCTTAATTCCCCTCGCGACAGCCCCTCATTCCCCTCACCATAACCACGAGTCCCCCCACTCCCCTCACGACAGCCAGGAGTCCCCCGTTCCCCTCACGACAGCACCCGGTTGGTCTCACGATAACCACGACTCTCCTGCTCCCCTCACGACAACCAGGAACGCCCCGCTCCCCTCCAGACAGCCCCCAGCCCCGGTTCCCCTCATGACAACGCAGAGACCCCCGTTCCTCCCACCGGCCCCCAACGCCCCTGTC